AAGGAAGGAAGGAAGGAAGGAAGGAAGGAAGGAAGGAAGGAAGGAAGGAAGGAAGGAAGGAAGGAAGAGCAATAGCAATAGCCCTTAGACTTATATTCCTCTTCACAGTGCTTTACAGCCCTCTCTAAGAGGTTTTCAGAGCCAGCCTCTGGCCCCCAACAATCTGGGTCCTCATTTGACCCACCTGGGAAGGAGGGAAGGCTGAGTCAACCTGGAGCCTGGTGGGATTCGAACTGCCAAATTGCAGGCAGCCAGCAGTCAGCAGAAGTGCCTTGCAGTGCTGCATTCTAACCACTGTGCCACCACAGCTCATAAAAGCTAAAACTAGAGGAGCAGCCCCACCTCAGCTGAAGGTTGGGAGAGGAATTCAAGAATAAACAAAAAGGAGCAAAGTCTGTGTAAAGTTAAGTCTTCCACAAGTCAGCAGGAAAACCTGAAGCTCTTGACATTGGAACCGATTGCCACAAGACCGGCTTTCCCGCTTCCAGGTTTCTGCTGATCTCTTCCAAACCTTAAACTCCACCCCAGCCGGAGCCATTGAGTGAGGGAGCCTCAGTCCTCGCGCTTCCCTTCTCCCTCCTCCCCTAAGCTTCCTTTTACGCAGGTACACGGAGCGCAGGGATTGTATAGGTACAGCGTACAACCCTTTCATTGAGTGAGTCTTTCAAAGTTACACCGAACGGCACTGAAAAATGTGACTTGTGACCGTTTTTCACACTTTACGACCGTGGCAGCATCCCCCCCCCATGGTCACATGATCAAAACACAGGCACTTGGCAACTGATTCGCATTTATGACGGCTGCAAGAAAGGTTGCAAGATGAGGCAAACCTCACTTTAATGGCTGTCCTGCTTACCAACATCACATTTTGTCTTTCAATTTATGGCCGTAAGTCCAGAACTGAAATTTAGAATGTAGTATTCTAGAAAAGTCCAATCCAACCAACACACGTTGCCCACTGATCCCGGCCCAGAAACCTTCCTCTCCCTCCGAAGAAGAGGAACCAGGGAGTGGACCTGTGAAATGCTGATGCCTTTCTACACACACAGGAATATGAAACTGGGGCCAAAAGTCCTTGGGGCCAAAAAAGCCTCCCGGGCAACTTTTGAAACCGCTCTCCTATTTATTCTGGATGGCTGTCACTCTCTCTGTCCTGGAGAGAACCTGCGTCAGCAGAGGATGTGCTGCCTCCACCTGGGCCAGGCCCTGATTGGGTGCCACGGAGGCCTGCTGTCTTTCATCAGAGCTGGAAAAACTGCATTTCTGAACCTTGTGATGAGCTTGCAAAGAAAAACCCCGTGCAGGTCAATGACAGAGTTCAGAAGCTGCTGGCCATGGCGCTCTTCAAGATCATCGTCCCGCTCCTGATCGGGTTGGGTGCTTACTATTACTACCCACAGGAAACTTTCTCTGCAGGTAAGGAAGGTAGATTCCCACACACCCCTGGGGAGGCCGGGCCATCGTTGTGCTTCTGCCTTTTGGCTCTTTTTTTTTAATGATTCTGTTTTCCATTTAACGGAGAAGAACAGGCTTCCCTAGAGAGGGGAAAATGTGGGTGAAACTCTTGCACGCAAGGTGTGAAGCAGGTGAGCTGGGAGGGCGGCCCATTTCTGGTGGACCTCCACGCTAAAGAAACGGGTTGAGGTCGCACAACACAGACCCGCAACCCAGTTTTGCACCGGCAAGTGAGGCGCCACTGATGGAGACGCACAAACATCCCTTTCTCTGTGTGATTGTCTCTGCAACCTTTCGTGCGCCCTGTCATTCAGACATCACACACACACACACACACACACACACATACACACACACACACACCAGGGGAATCAGCATGTTGGAGACTCTCAGATTGGGAAGGGGGGGGTCAGAAAAGGGCAGGGGACCCGGAAGGCTGCAGCAGACTAGAAGTAGCAGCTTTGGGGTTCAGCCGCCTTAGAGCCCCTCTGGCCAAAGGTGCCACCCACTGGATTCTCTGCTCACACGGAGGATCATCGGTTGCAGGAGCAGGAATCCGCTAGCTCTTCACGGATGGAATCTGTGGCTCAGCCAGCTTTCCTCCCACGGCTGTCCCAGTCACCTGGGCGGATCACGTCGGAGGAAGAGACGGAGGGTTGCTTCGGGGGCTCCTGGTTGAGCAGACCTCTGCCCAGCCCCAGGGCACCTAGGCGAGCCCCCATCCACCCACCCCGAAGCCACAGCGCTGATCCAGTTTGAAGCGGTTGTCAGTGGTTCTGCCATTCCTACCTGCAATTCTTGCTCACCTGGTGGGAGGCTGAGCATCCCCAATACGTAAGTGTAGCTGGTGGCCAGTCCTATTCTAGTTGGGTGTTTTGGGTGGGAGCTAGAGGAGTGTAGAAAGACCCCGGTTGAGGTGGGCAGGGCAATGGCCGGGAGGAATTCTGGGAGTTTGAAGTCAAAAGTCACCGAAGTTGAGAAAGTCCCCCCCCCCTCCCCGGTGCAGGAGCAAATTGCAGAAGTTGGTGCCGGACAATCTCGGGAGCTGAAGTCCATCGATCTTCAAAGTTTGCTTGGGTTGGGAAATTCTGCCAGCTCAGACTCTGGGACCTTGAGGAAGGAGGGGGGAGTAGAATTTGGGGCTGAGAAAAGATGCAATTAGCCCGAGAAGGAAAGAAGAGGTAACCCAAGTGGGGGGAACCAGATCATCAGCTTCCTCCACCCAAACCCGAAAAGCCCCATCAAGTCCCTCCCACTGTGAAGGAAAGCTCTGCCACCCGCTGTGTCCACAAGGGATTAGGGGAAAGGCAGAGGGGGCTGCCCTGCTCCTATTGGCCCTTGAGGCCACTGAGGATCGCCCCCCCCTCCACTGAATGGAGGGCTGTTTGTTCTCCTTGGGGGCAGGTGGGGGGGTGTGGCTTTTCTCCATGCCAAAATCCCTCTCGCTTTTTTGGCCAACCCACGGAGCATGGGAGGTGAATGCTCAGCTGGACTCTTGGCTGCCTCGCTTCGATGTGGCAAGCGGGGAGGTGAGCGGACCACTGGCATGTCCCAAACCACCTGTGTCCCCAATGAAAGGGGGTGGACCGATGGGGAGAGGGGAGCGAGGGGGGGCACTTGGAAGTGAAGCATAGTGTTGGAATTGGCCCTGAGAGCCGACGGGGCTCTGGGTAGGGAATTGAGTAAGGACCCAATGGGTGTGTGTGTGTGTGTGTGTGTGTGTGTGTGTGTGGATAATGCTGTCACACACACCCCAGACTAATTTGCTTGTTTATTGGCTTTCCTGCCCAAGGAGGGACTTTCAGATCTGCACCTGCTAGAACGATCCCTTCTAGACCACGCCTCCAACTGTGGCAACTTTAAGCCTTGAGGACAAACTCCCAGAATTCCTCAGCCAGCAAAGGCTTAAAGTTGCCAGCTGGGGAATTCTGGGAGTTGAAGCCCTCCAGGCTTAAAGTTGCCAAGGTTGGAGACTCCTGTCTCTAGACAACACGGACATTTAATAAAAAGATGGAACATAAACTGGTCCCAGTAAAGAGCCTGAAGCAGTGAAAGTTGGAGGAACCGAGAAAATTCACCGAAGGGAACACAGGATAATACAGCAGGGCCGGAAGGGACCTCGAAGGTCTTCTAGTTCACCCCCCGCTGCTCAAGGCAGGCGGTCCAAAAGACCTTTGGCCAGACTCCTTTTCCTGGCTGGGCCCAGAGCCTGCGCAACTCCAGCCGGGCATCCAAATCCACAGGCCGTCCGTCTTCCTCTTCTGCCTGCAGAGATGGTGCGAGGAATGCGCGTGTTGGTGACGGGTTCAAGTTCGGGCATCGGGGAGCAAATGGCCTACGAGTTCGCACGGATGGGAGCCCACCTGGTGCTGACTGCCAGGAAGGAGGAGCAACTGCAGAAGGTAAGCGGGCAGGAGCCCAATCCAGCTCCGAACCCCCGATCGTCTGAACAGGACCAGCCCTGCACGGATCGCATCGCAGCCTCAGCCCATGTTCGGTCTTTAGCAAAGAACTGGACCGCTTTCCCACGCGAGAAAGAGAAAGAAGCCCCTGTCCACGGTTGAAACCGGCGAGAGATTCCCTCGCTATCCCAGAGGTGCATTTTTTCCAAGAGGCAACTCGGCTTTTTTTTTTTCCTTTGAAGACGTTTCGCTTCTCATCCAAGAAGCTTCCTCTGCTCTGACTGGAAGGGTGGGGAAGGGGAAATTGCAGATTACAGGAAAAAATGCAGACTCCAGGAACCCTTTGCGCTTCAGTTTGAGATAGAGGAGACTTTCTGCAAAGAGCATAAATCCTTCCCTTCCCCGTCATTCAGTCAGAGCGGAAGAACTTCTCGGATGAGAAGGGAAACGTCTTCAAAGAAAAAAAACAGAAAGTCCAGATGCCTCTTGGGAAAAAAAAAGCACCTTTGGAACAACCAGAGGACGAGAATCTCCACAGATTCATTCACTGGCTTCAGTCTCAAATGGGTGTCGGGTGCAAATCCGGCTCCTCTGCTTTTTGGGGTGGAGACAGTTCCGTCCTTGCTGGGGCACCCCAATGCCGCCGCCCCACCCAGCCATTCTGGAAGGACGCTCTGAGCAGTGGTGGGATTCAAACATTTTTACTACCGGTTCTGTGGGCGTGGCAGGGGAAGGAGACTGCAAAATCCCCCTTCCCTCCCCACCCCACTAACCTGCTTTCCAGCTCTGTTCTCCTGTGCAGGGCAACCAAAGGAGACCCAGCCAATCAGATGGGACTCAGTGGGAGGCAGAGAAGAGATGGGTTGGTGGGGCCAGTCAGAGGTGGGATTGGCCAGTTCTCTGGACTACTCAAAGTTTCTGCTACCGGTTCTCCAGAACTGGTCAGAACCAGCTGAATCCCCGCTCTGGCTCTGAGCAACAACTAACCTCGGTTTCAGGGAACTGAGTTTCAGGGAAAGGGCGAAGTGGGGGTGGTTTAAAATAGGCCTGAACGCCAATCCTGCTGACAGCCACCAATCTCACTGGCTGCTCTTGAGCCCACAAGGTGGTCAAGAAAAGAAAAAAAGACCACACATCTTGACTTTGTTGTTAAAGCTTGGCAGAGCTTCTTTTATTTTGACCTTTGTTATTAGAATTTTTCAACACAATAAAACTATCCAAAATTAAAAGATTAAAAAAGAAAATGTATAGGAGGAAAAAAATTAAATTTAAAAGAAAACAATTATTTCCACCCTTCTTTTTACCTAGTAGTTGCCATCTAAATTCGTCCACCTCCCAGTTTAACTTACTTTTTAAATCCTCAATCCAGAAATCATCAACTCAGCCTTCATCTTTCAACAAACGTCCATCGGATAAGGTTTCTTGTCTTTCAAAAAAAAAAAAAAAATCCTTTGATTATTTTTCCTTGACTAAACTAGTCATTTTTGGTTCTTTTTCCTCAAGTTATCAATATTACAAGTCACATTTCCTGTTTTATTTCATGATTTCTCCATCTTTGTGCTTGCAATAATCTCGGCGCATACCGTATCATATACAATATGCCATATTAATTTCCCACATTTCTAATTGATGGTCCATGAAACCCCAATAAAAGGATTCCAGTGGTCTCATCCTAATATTCAGCTTGGCAGAGATTCAACTGCACTGACTTGACTTTTGGGTCCAAACCCTTCGGATTCCCTGGTTCTTGTGAGTCCTTTCCTTTGCCCTCTTTTTTCCCTTCCTCTTCAGGTGGTGAAGAAGTGCCAGGACCTGGGCGCCAGTTCTGCCCACTATGTGGTGGCGGACATGGGCAACCTGACCGATGCCCAGAAGGTGGTGGAAGAAACTAAGGCCAAGTTGGGTAAAGACGACCTTTTGCATCTCACCCAGGACCAACCCTTGTGCCTCCGGGGGGGGGGGCGTTTGCGGGGAGGGAAGAGACTGAGGAATGGGACGCTGTGCGTGTGTAGGTAGGCAGGGCGGTATTCAGCTCCCCTTACCTAGCCCAGCCATGCAGTGAACCTAGCCACACACACACACCCCGCCCTTCCAGGGGTGGGCTTCAAAAATTTTAGCAACAGGTTCTCTGCCCAGGTGCTGGATGGGCGTGGCGATGGTGGGCGTGGTCTAGTTGGCCTCCGGCACCATAGCGGGAGGGACATTTTTGCCCTTCCCGGGCTCCGGAGGCTCTCTGGAAGCTGGAAACAGGCCCGTTTTTGGTCTTCCCAAACTTCTGGGAGGCCTGTTTTTTGCCCTCCCCGAGCCTGCGCACACACCTTGCACTTACCTGCATCCAAAACGGGCTGCATGGGGACTCCTGGGAGGGGAGGGGTGGGCGGGGCCAGCCAGGAGTGGGATTGGCGGGGTCTCTCCGAACTGTGCAGAACCTTAGCTAGGGGCTCCCTTGACCCTCTTCGAATCCCCAGCACCATCCATTCCTCTCTCTAGAACAGGGGTGTCCAACCTTGGCAACTTTAAGACTTGTGGACTTCAACTCCCAGAATTCAACTTTAAGACTTGTGGACTTCAACTCCCAGAATTCAACTTTAAGACTTGTGGACTTCAACTCCCAGAATTCCTCAGCCAGCTTTGCTTCAATTCTGGGAGTTGAAGTCCACAAGTCTTAAAGTTGCCAAGGTTGGACACCCCTGCTCTAGAAGTTGCCTTGTCTCCCACCCCCTGGACTTGGCTGTCCCCTCCTTTCCTACATGGAGAAGACCACCCAGAGAGGTCCTATTTCCACGGCTCCTCCAGAATGGGAGAATCCATGCAGCAAATGGGGTGGGGGAGGTACGGTGGCCTACAGGTGGAGCTCTCACCTCACAATCAGGAGGCTGTGAGTTCAATCCTAGACAGAGGCAGATATTTCTCTCTCTGGGCACAATGAGAATAGATCTGCCGAACAAAACTCCACATTGGTGACAGGAAGGGCATCTGGCCAGTGAACACCCTGCTAGCTCCATTCAGTTGCCCAGATTCCACCCCGCAAGGGATTATGGGGTCATTAAATGTCAAAGAAGAAATGGGGTGGTGGGAGACAACTTCTTTGAAAAGCAACAAGCGGTTCAAATCTTTGTGGTGCACCTGAGGGGACCCTTTTTGGGGACTTCGTAGCTGTGCAGAGAAACATGTTTGCTCTCAGGTGTTTCTGCATCCCACATGGCCCAGCTCTGAGAATCCAGAGTTGGCCACCAATATTGGGCAATGGGAATAACAGATAACACACATGGAAAGGAATCTTGGAAGAGTTTTAGTCCAACCCCCTGCTCAATGGCAATAGGACTTATTTATATACTGCTCTTTTCAGAGGGCATGGTGGCTCAGGGGCATGGACGCTGAGCTTGTCAATCGGAGAGGTCAGCAGTTCGGCGGTTCAAATCTCTAGTGCCGCGTAACGGAGTGAGCCCCCGTTGCTGGTCCCAGTTTCTGCCAACCGAGCAGTTTGAAAACACGTTAAAAAATGCAAGTAGAAAAATAGGGACCCCTTTGGTGGGAAGGTAACGGCGCTCCGTGCGCCTTCGAAGGTGGTTAGTCATGCCGGCCACATGACCAGGGAGACGTCTTCGGACAGCGCTGGTTCTCCGGCTATGAAACAGAGATAAGCAGCATCCCCTAGAGCCAAAAACGAATAGCATGGGGAACCTTTACCTTTATATACGGCCCTTTAGTTCTTTTATAGCATTCAGTGTGAGAATTATTTGCATATTGCCCCCAACAATCCAGGATGGAAGGCTGAATCAACCTTGAGCCGGTCAGCATTGAACTCCAGGCAATGGGCAGAGTTTGTTTGTAATGCTGCATTCTGACCGCTGGGCCATCAGGGCTCCTTGCATTCCAAATGGCTGTATTTAATAAATGCAATAAACAAACAATAATGCAAGAGCAGGAAAAGCAAGGATGGCCAGCGATTGGCAGGGGTGTGTGTGTGTGTGTGTGTGCACACGCTCATTCCTGTCCCAGAAGATCAACCATTTTGACAAAGGCCCAAGATCTCTCAGTGTTTTGCTGGCCTGGCCTGGCTGACCGACCTTCACCTGTGCTGGGCTCCCTCCTGCACTGAGCTGTGATGTCAACATCCAGCCCCTTTGCAGCCTTCTGCATGCCCACCTGCCCTGCCTGGGGCTCCACGCTGGAAGACGCCTTCTGAGGGTGGCAGCAAGCCAGCGCCAGCAAAAAGATCCGTTTGCCTTTTGTGCAGGTAGGCCCTGAGCGCCTCTCTGTCCTTCACTCCCCCAGGAGGTCTCGACCAGCTAGTTCTGAACCACGCGGGAGGAACCTCCTTTGGTCCATTCAAAGGAACAATTGAGCCCGTGATCAAGTCGATGACCGTGAACTTCTTCAGCTACGTCCAGTTGACCATTTGTGCCATGGACCTGCTGCTGGAATCTAAGGGGAACATCGTAGTCGTCTCCTCCATGAGCGGTAGGTACCGCAATCCTCACAGGCACCCGGGTGGATCCCGCAGTGAGTGAGGCATTCATTCGTGCTGAAGGAAGGACGTCTCCTGCGTGGGATCCCATGGCGGTATTCAGCCGGATCGGGCAAGGATTTGGCGTGGGTCGCCGAACCGGTAGTAAGTTCTGGCTGGCCACGCCCACGACCCGGTTGCCCTCCCGCCCGATGCTCGGTCGCCCCGCCCGCCTGACGTTCAAGGTATTTCTTTTTCCCCCCTCCCAACGATCAGCTGTTCATACGATCTGCTGTGCCGGGATTCCCCTTCCTTTCCCGGCCCCAGCGTGGGGGGAGGGGGAGCACCCCCCCCCCCCGCCCGAGGCTCCTCTGAGACCCAAAAGGCCCCCAAAATGGGTAGGGGCTGCAAAAAAGCAAAAAAAGAGCCACGCCCACCCAGTCACATGGCCATGCTCACCAAGCCACTCCCACAGAACTGGTAGTAAAAAAATTTGAATCCCACCACTGATGAGATCCTACCAGTTCTCAATTTGATGGCAGAGGATTTGCTTCCAGGTGTCACCAGCCGCTCCATTTCCTCACCGCTTTCTCTCCTCGCACCCCATTCTTCCTTCTATACTCCCCTTCATTCATTCTTAGTCTCCAAATTTCTGGTCTCTCTCTTCCCGAAGATCTCATCCACAACCTACTTTTTAGTAAGCTGGGAAAAAATGGAATAGATAGCACCACCACTAGATGGATTTGCAACTGGCTGGCAAACCGTACTCAACGAGTAGTCCTTAATGGGTCTAAGTCTACATGGAGGGAAGTAAGCAGTGGGGTGCCACAAGGTCCCGTCTTAGGCCCAGGACTCTTCAATATCTTCATTAATGACTTAGATGAGGGAATAGAAGGGGAACTTACCAAATTTGCAGATGATACTAAGCTGGCAGGAATAGCCAACACCCAAGAAGATAGGCTCAAGATCCAGA